TCTGGTTCCGAAACTATCGACTGCTACGGACGACCAATCAAATTCACGAAATTTCACCACCATCAGACCACCTTGAAGAAAACCGGTGAAACACGGGCCGAAACGACGGTAGTGGTCAGACTGACCACAAAACCTTTATGTTGTGTATAAACGGACTGTGTTTCACGCTACTGTTTTTTAAATATAAAATTAATGTCATAAATAAACGGTCCAATAAATTTAATAGTTTGTTAATTCTGAAAATAATAGCTTTGAGGTTGGATATAGAAACTGTCTTGCGACTGCAAGAAATACTACATAGCAGAAGTTGGATACACCGTCACCCAAAAAACAGAAGACCGTCCGACAGTCATTCTGGAGAAAATGGATCACCGTAGACAAACACGGACGACATGAGACTAACCGAAACGTTGGTATTGGCAAATCATGCGACAGACCAAATCATTCGTTTGCGGGATGCATAAATAAACCGTTTTTATGTATTTCTCAGTATGCAGCATCTCTGAAGATGTGGTATTTTCTTGTGCACCTATGGTCATATCGAAATACATCACAGAAACTGTTTAATTAGACACAAAGCAAAACTGTTATTCCATCGGGATGGGCCACCACCGACGTTTCATGTCCGTATGTCACGGCTCCATTGATTCAGTAAGTCACTGATTCGTTCAATCATTGACTCTTTCATTCCTCCGTAAGCGCGTTCACTCACTGTACCTTTAGTCACTGTCACATCCTGCTGCGTTTTTCAGATCATGAGGCGCGATTCTGGGAAACGATTTATTGCAGATGAAGTAGTGAACTGAAAAGAGATACGCTGTCACACATCATGGCCTAAATCACCACTACTTTCGCACCGAAACACAATCCTAAACATGAATCAAATCCAGCCAATGCACTGCCTGTCAGCAGGCAGGGGGAATAACGGAATATTTCTGGTAGTTACTTCCGGTCGTACGCGACAACAGCGGCACGAATGATGGCCCAGTGTCTTTTTGGGCTACTTTCTGAAGTAACAGCGCAGTTCCTTGTTGGTCCGGTGATCAAGGAACATGGCTCTGCAATACCTATTTTCTTCAAACGGTCACTATTCTTGCTAATGATGTGATCACAGTATCGTAGCTTTAATCTTACCTGATCTTTTGGTACACAGGAGAGGAGATGGAGTCCCCAGTTCCTGAACATTCATATATTAATCCCTCAGTATGCAGTCCTTTGTGATAAACTCACAACAGCCCTATGCAACAGAATATTTTAAACATTACATCAACTTTTGACCTGGGTTTACTGGGTACAGCTTACATTCTCACAAAATGTGAAGGAACAGTTTAGAAATCGAATTGGCTGCAACTGAAGGAACTTCCAATCATATCGCTTAGCATTTCGCCTCAGTCCTTTCATCATGTTACGGTGATTTGTAAAAGTTCGTACTTACATTGCCATTACTTTTCAAGACACAGTCAAAGCAACAGCAAAAGCCCCCCCCCCTTTTCGTTAATAAGAGCCTTCGTAACGCCTATAAATCATATAAATCCACGCCTTTGGACCACGGAGTAACATATAAGGAGTAACAGCTCATGAAACATATCATGTAATGAACGCGAAGTGACCCGAGCGAGAAAAATGATGCCAGATGCACCTGACATTGCGGGTGCTCAGTGGATCAATGACGTGTTTAAATGGACTATAGGAGCAAGAGGGCAGAGAAATATGCTATAAAATCAGGTCTTGGATCAGTTATGGATTATCAGTAATCACTTGAGTTTTATTCACGTGCATTTCACGACTAACGTGTTTTCTACTCTTATTTTCTCTACCAACCGTTGTTGTTTCGTACTCTCTCGACCACGCATTGTACTCAAGGTACAGGCCTAAACCAAAGTCAATTGCGAATCTGATACAAAAAGAAAGACCAATCAACGGAGGAGAATTCTGGCTCGCTTCATCGGGGAAAACAGCAAAATGGGCTGCATACTAAGAAGGAATAAACATCATCTGAAGAAGAGAGCCCCGCAGCCATTTCTAAAACGACAATATCGAAATGAAAGAATGGGTGGTGCAGAACCGATTAGCTGAAGAAATCGACCACGTTTAACACACGTTAAACTACTGACACCAGAAACATGGCGTACAGTAATGCCACTTCTTCGACACTAGTCTTTTTCAGCGAAACTCGGTCTACCATTAGTATTCTAACATTCAGATTGCATATAAAGCTAAGGTATAACTATTCTCATTACGCATTCTGTCGAAAACACTACAATTCATAATTTTTCAAATTTCCGGACTACAGACAAAAACACGACCGCTGGTCAAATCCGACTATTTCTACCTGTTCCAAATGTGGGTGGGTTTGTGTGACCGCTGCCTTGAGCCGTATGAAAACAGAACTCCTCTACTCGCAGCTTTACAGCTCATTTGTTATAAGACACTGGTTACTACATCGCAGAAAGAAATACTCCTCAGAAAGCAGATGTTGCTCTAACTTGTTTATTTATCGATTTTGAATACCGGCCTTCTTCAACGTCTACCGTGAAGTCCAAGGGCTGCCGTAAATGGCACATGCTCAACCGGTTTGTCTAGCAACACCCATCTCCTTTCTTTCATTTCCTAATCTATGAGGTAAGTAGTAGTGATAAGTGTATTCTACGGCTCAGCAGTTTCATCCAAGGATGGAAATTAGTTTAAATATCCTGCAGTAAAGGAGTGACGAACGATAACCCTAGAAGATAGACACACGAATCCGTCAAGAAAATGCAGTACACCAGCAGCTAAGACGACCTATGATAATAGAGAAAAAGTTGAACAGCAACATGACGCTGTTTACTTTTAACCATTCTAGCATCCCTATCATCGCC